ACGTGGGCAGCAGGTCAAGGGAGGGGATTCAACCCCTCTGCTGGTGAGACTCCACCTGGAGTGCTGCCTCCAGTTCTGGGGCACCCAGCATAAGAAAGACATGGACCTGTTAGAACGAGTCCAGAGGAGGCCACAGGGATGATCCAAGGGCTGGAGCATCTCTGCTGTGAGGACAGGCTGAGAGAGTTGGGGCTGTTCCGCCTGGAGAAGAGAAGGCTCCGGGGAGATCTTATAGCGGCCTCCTAGTATCTGAAGGGGCTCCAGGAAGGGTGGGGCGGGACTTCTTACAAGGGCAGGGAGTGACAGAACAAGGGGAAATGGTTATAAACTGGACAAGAGTAGATTTAGATTAGATATTGGGAAGAAATTCTTTGCTGTGAGGGTGGTCAGACACTGGCCCAGGTTGCCCAGAGAAGCTGTGGCTGCTCCTCCCTGGAAGTGTTCAAGGCCAGGTTGGATGAGGCTTTGAGCAACCTGGTCTAGTGGAAGGTGTCCCTGCTGATGGCAGGGGGGGTGGAACTGGATGATCTTTAAGGGCCCTTCCAACCCAGACCATTCTGTGATTCTGTGATTGTTTGAATGAAGAACTTGTAGTGCTCAAACTCTTCTCTGTTAATAGTTAGAGCCTCAAATTGTAGATGTTCTTAAAGCATGCACTTTGATTTTCAGTATTTTTTCTAAAAATATATGATCCACCATCACATTCTTAAGACAAGGATTAGGTTTAAAATAAGTGCCATAGGTATATTAAATATGTCTTGAGTTAGTTTTGCTCAAGGTCCAGTGTGTCCAGTCACAAATGGTGACCGTATCTGCATGGCCATATGTTTACTCATATCTGGAAGCAATGTTGTATTGCAGACCAGAGCCTGCAGCCACATCATTTTTTTTCATAAGCATCTGTTATTCTTGATCTTTTGAAACATAAACTCTAGTAGGATAAATAATGGGAGAAGTAGAAAGTGTAACAGAGCTGAATTTGCTAACACCTTGAGATAGAAGGAAAAGTTGTGTTGTTGGCTTTTTTTCCCTGAAAAATAGGTGCACAATAATAGTGGATAATGTGTATAAAAAGAGGGTGTTCTTGGGAAAAATAAGTTACAGGAGTTGTTGCACTTTTATGTCAAGCTCTTTCTCTGTAATTGCTTTTACTAGTAATCTTCTCTTTTAGTTTTTTAGTGTGGACCTGACGAGCTTCTTTCTGCTGGTGTCAGCAACAGGCCTTTTACCATGAACAATTCCACTCCAGCTACAGGTATACATAAAAAAATAATTTTTATCAAAGTTCTTCAACAGTGTGTGGGTTTTTCTGTAAATGTATTTTTTTATTATTCTTTATTGTCACTGTGAGCAGCCTCACCAATCTGACTCCCAACAGCAGAGCCACTGGAGTCTATCCAATTCAGTGACAGTATTGAGGAGCTCCAAAGCTGATCAGTTGAAATGTGCAAAAAAACACCCTTATTTTCTATAATCATGATCAAGCAAGTAGCCTTACGTACAGATTCTCAACTGCCCACTCAATTTCCCTGTAGCTGTGCAGTTGAAAGGAATTTGTTTTCAGGTATTTCAAGACTGTCAGGATTACATAGACAGGAGATGAATATCATATATCAATCTCAGTTTGGTGGAATGTAGGGCATGTCACGTGGATGCATGATAAAGAGTTAAGCTGATTCCCTTGGGTGTTCTTGTTCCTGCTTTCTACCCTACTTCCAGAACTTCTTGAGCAGCAGCACCAACAGTCCTGTGATTTGTTTCCAGATGTTTTCCTACCAGTTCTTGTACCCACACAATCTCTCCATGGGTTGAGATGAATGGTAGTGTTTTTGCACGGCAAGCAGCAGGAAAAATGATTATTTTTTCTCTTGCCCAGATATTTTCTTGATCTGATTCACTACAGATTGTTCTTCATCAGAATGTTTTTTTCTGGGAGATGGTGGGAAATGGGATACACAGATGCAGGTTAAGAAAGCTGGTTCTATTTAAGAATGGCTCAGTGTGAAACCGCAGCCACACGTGCCTTCAAACATGTTCAACTAATGCTGACATCCAAAGAAATTTATGCTCTGCCCCACTCTGTCTGTTGAGAAAGATGCAGTATCTGGTTACCTGTAGTTTCAGATCAGACAAAACGTTGAAAGAGAAAGCTGGGTCTGCTTCCTTTAGAGGTGCTTTCAGCTTAGGTGGACTTGTATTAATGGCCCATAGCTGCTTAAGTTAACTTTACTAACTAAAGTACGTTAACTGACTCATGACACAGACAATTGCTGTTAGCAGTGGCTTCCAAACAGTTGAATTTATAATGGAGCAAGGGACAGAGCAGATGAACTCTTGATAAGCATCTAAGACTTACTTGCTATACTTTTGGTGGGGAATAAGGGGAAGGAAGAGTCTGAGGATCTAACTTGCAGATTTTTGGGTTTGATTTCTTTGACTTCCACATATCGGATTGTTCATACTTCTGCTGATTGATTCAGTGTGACGTCCAGAGGCTTCTGCTTGGCTTGAAACAGCATTAGCTTATAACTCAGTAATTTAATAGCTGAAATATTTCAGGCTTGTGTAGATGGTGTTTTGTGGGAAGGAATCAGCTGGCAAGGAATATAAATTTGTATTGTGTTCAGGTGACTTTTATCAATTACCAGTGCAACTGCTGATCACTCATAGTGATGTCCAGGGTATCTAAATGATATTAAACTTTTAAATAAGACAGATCTGTTTGTCTCCTAAGAAATAAAAAAACCCCTCTAATTTTCATTGTTAATTCTATACTTCATTTGGGGTTTTTATAATTTCTATTGAGATGCATCTTTTTACCTAATACAACTGCTTCACCTGTAGCGGTTTTTTCATTTGGTGGGTTACATATTTAAAATATGTTTGGAGTTTTTTGATCTGAAGCTACTCACTTGGCAGATATATTTGTACCAGTCATGAATCGTGATTGTAATTAACTTCTCTTTGTAGCACCAGGCACCAAATTTCACTTTGTTCTCATCTTTGTCTATCTGAAAGGAGTTTTTGCTTTCACCCAATTGAGTGTAAAATTCAGAAGAGGTGGTTGTCTTCGGCATACTTCAAAGAACTGTTGAAACAATTTTGAAATTTAGATGCCAGAAAAACATATAATTATCACTCTGCATCAAAATTAGTGTCAAACAATAGCTGGACAAAGCAACATGGTTTAAAAAATGCTGAGGTCTTTATACTTGGGATGGAATGAATTATAGCTTTTGTTGCTGATTTAGTGACTTAGCTGAAGTTCCACAAAACGTAATATAATTACAACTGGAAAAGATGTACTTTAATAGCATTTTTGGGTCAGGTGTTGGTCACTGTTCAGAAACCAGATCAGCTAGAGCTAACATATGCTTGCTAATGTGTAGATGTACGTGCACATGGTATGTTCACAAGCTGAAACTGTTCTGGTAAGCACTGTCCTTTATGACTGAATGCCTAACTTGAAAACTCCTGTAACACTTAGTGAAGATGTAGAGAGAAAATGCTGTGCTTGCCACTTAGCTCCATCTTGTCAACTCTGATAATGAGTCAAAACCCAGAAAGTATTTCTTCTGCGAGACTCTCATCTTAAAATAAAGGGAAAATTCCTGTTAGATTTAATTTCCTTCTTTTTTTAGTCAAGCAGTCATTGACTTAGTAAAGTCAAGGGCATCTTGTTCATTTTGAACCTGAAAAGTAGATTTAACAAAATAGGAGGGGTTGTTAGGCTTTAATAGTAATATATCCTGTTGTGCCTTGGTACTGATATGCATTTAATATGTTTCTGTTTGTCTTAAAGTCTCATCCCAAACAAGTGTGCCGCATGTTCACATTTTTTAGAATGCACACAGAGCACATGATGCCATTTAAAATTTCTTGATGGAAAAAAAATCAATGCATAATAGGCTTTTTTATGTTTTGCAGGTTTAGTGAACTTGGCTTATGAGTGTGCCATGGTTGGGGCTTGGATCATCTAATGTGGAATTTTACAGAATTCCACTGGTAAAAATACCCTCTGTAAAGATCCTTATACAGAATGAGTATTGTGAACCGCTTTTCTGCCTTAGGCTCTACTCAAAACCTACAGCAAAATCTGAAATTACTTACTAAGGTCATACAGATATTTTTTTCCTAATCTTTTGTGATTTCCCTTGGAAGGCGAATGCAACACATGAGGTGTTAAGACCGTTTGTCTTCCTGGAGTGAAGCTGTTTGTAGCGCTGAAGTGATGTGCAGTTGGACTTCAATACAATTTCCATCAAATATATCAAATATGCTGTCCTTCCTCTCAGTTTAGGATTTTTTTTTAACCACGTCTCATAAGCCTCTGTAACTTCCTTTTGGAGAATCTCTTACTGGCATCTGTAGTTTGGCTAATGAAATTCATTTTTACTACTTTATTACTCCATTGTGATAGCTTCTAGAACAATATGCCTGTTCCAGATGTGGTGTTTTGATTAAAAGTGCTCTCAAGGACTCTGAGTCATCTCCTTGAAATGGAGCCATTGGTCACTTACCTGTTACAGGATCCAAATACGCATATAATTTAAAAAAAAAAAAAAAAAAGACTGTTTGCCAAAGTGGAAAACTTCAGAATCTATACAGATTTCATGGCTTACTGCTGTCTATCCTTTTCAAAGGTTTTTTTAAAACTTAAAATTGTGTGGGACAGCAAACTTTCTTTAAGGAAAAAAAAAAATATCTGAGGTAGCAACTGAATCTAATTAAGAAACATACCATGCAGGAAGATAAGTTACTAATAAAAAAATGAATGTATTACCTCCCAATTACCTACTTCCCCCTCTTCCGTGTAATCACCACTTTGTAAATATGTTACATGGGCATTTGGGAGGAGGTTATTGACCTCTCTGTCTGGAAGACTTAAAAAAAACCCAAAACAAACCCAAAACAAAAAAAACTTCAGAAAAAACACAAAGAAAATAAACAAACCAAATCCAAAGCAAACCAAAGCATCACATGACTCACCTTGCAGGGGAGATTTGGAACAGCTAAAGGGGTCTTAAACTGTCCTTTAGTTATGTATCAGCTGTACTTTCTTAGGATTCAAAGAGCTGTAGATAAGTCAATATCAGTGCTGAGACAACAGTTTCTGTCTTTTAGGTTTTGGTATCTATACAGTGCAATAAGTTTGTCTTCTTTGCTTGTACCCATCCCCCTTCCTAAAATATTTTAGATAATGGGAACGATAAGAAGAAATTTAAAGGAGACAGATTGCCATGCTCCCCTTCACGTGTCCTTCATCTTCGTCAAATTCCAAGTGATGTTACTGAAGCAGAAGTCATTTCATTAGGCCTCCCTTTTGGCAAAGTAACCAACCTCTTGATGCTAAAAGGAAAAAGTCAGGTATTTACTTTTCAGTGTTTCAATTATAAGAGCGAGGCTGAAGATGTGGTTCATGTTATGACCCTTTTGATATAGTGTTTGTCTGAAATGATTGAAACAATGTCTCAATATGTCATTGATATCTCAAGATTTTCATATTTTCAAATGTGAAAGGATGCCTTGATATTTATTTTAAGATTATAATATACTTTTGGACAAAATAACAGTCTAGTAACTTGTTAATAATATTGCTAAATATTATATCCACCTCATATAAGAATATATAGATAATAAAGAACTACATCGTCACTACTGATGTCAACATATGTCTTGAAATAACCTGCCTGATTAAATACTTAACCTGCAAGTTAATTTTTTAATGTGAATTAAATTGCTTAGATTTTTTTTTTAATCCTTTTAGATGTGATGGGGTAGTTTACATTATTAATAAACACTGAAATCCTAAAAATAACAGGCACTCATTCAAAAATTGTCTAGAGAATTGAGCTGGGTTAATATAATGCACAGACTGATAGATGTTTAGTGTCCTGTTCTTAATTTTTTGGTCAGTATGTATATCTGCTACCTAGGTAATAGTGCTTGGATTCAGGAATCTGATAAATTCATTAGCAGTGTGGTACTTGTAGCAGCATTGCTTCTCATGTATCATACTTATTCCATTTCTTCTTTAATGACTGTTTGTACTTAAAATGTAAAACGTTTTAAGAAAACCCATATATTCCCATAAACAGACACACACACACATGCATTTTAATGCTGAGCAGATCAGTACTGTACTTTCACGTGATCTTTCTCTAGTGAGAGTGGAATTGGCAGTAAATGATGCTTTCATGCTTTGTTCTGTCCTGTAGACCAAACAACACTGAAAACTGCTGTGTATTGGTTGCAGGCATTTTTGGAAATGGCTTCTGAAGAAGCTGCTATTACTATGATGAACTACTATACTCCTGCTACACCTCACCTCCGCAGTCGGCCCGTTTATATTCAGTATTCCAATCACAGAGAACTTAAGACTGACAATTTACCTAATCAAGCTGTAAGTATAATATTTCCATTTAACAGGATAGAATTCCACGAGTTAGGTACTGGTTTTGGCTAGGATAGAGTTAAATTTTCTTCATAGTAGATTGTGACATTTAGATAGTGTCAAGGCCCTTTCTGCTTCTCATGCTCCCCTGCCATTGTCAGCATACAAGGAGCTGGGAGGGGACACAGCTGGAACTGCTGACCTCCATTGAGCAAAGGGATATTCCACACCATATAACACTGTCCTCAGCAACAAATGCTGGGGGAAGAAGAAGGAAGGGGGAGTGTTCAGAGTGATGACATTTTTAGTCCCAAGTAACCCATTACATGTGATGGAGCCCTGCTTTCCTGGAGGTGGCTGAACTCCTGCCTGCCAGTGGGAAGTAGAGAAGGAATTCCTTGCTTTGCTTTGCTTGCATGTGTATATTACATAATACACTGTCTGTATCTCAGCCCATGAGTTTCCTCACTTTTACCCTTTTGATTCTCTTCCCTATACTGCTGGGGGGAAGTGACCAAGCAGCTGTGTGGCACTTAGCTGCCTACCAGGGTTAAACCACAACTTTAATAAATAAACAAACTACTTTCCACTATACTAATAGTCACATACTGATAGATATTATTTCTGTCTGTTGTTATCTAAGCAGTAACTTCTTTCAGACAGGGACTACTCAATATCTGTAAAATTACGGTGGAGCAGCTCAAGAATTGTTCATCCTGATGAGCAGGAAATCAAGTGAAGGTGGCAGGAGGACTGCTTGGATGAACAAGGACTGAAACATAAAAAAGAGGCATAGAAAAGGTAGAATCACAGACGAGTGACCCAGGAGAAACATAGTTATCTGAACATGCAGGAATGTGGTTAGGAAAGTCAAAGACCACATGGAGTTGGGTTTGGGAAGGGATGTGAACAGCAGCAAGGAATGGCTCCTCAAAGTCTATCAGCAGCAGAAGGAAGATTTAGGGAATATGAGGGCCTGCTGGTGAATGGAGTGTGGGCCCTGGTGACAAAGGCTGAACTACTGGATGCCTTCTCCTCAGTCTTTAGTGGTTAAGACTTGCCCTTGGGAATACCGTGCAACTGAGAACAGTGGGAAAGTCTTGATGAAGGAAGTAGAGAAGAATCTCATTAGGGAACATTTAAGCACACTGGATAAACAAAAGTCTGTGGCCCTAATGAGATGCACTTGTGAGTGCTGAGGGAGCTGGCTGATGTCATTGGAAGGCCACTCTGACAATCGTGGAAAGGCCATGGCAATTGGAGGAGGTTTCTGAGGACTACAAGAAAGCGAATCTCAGTCCTACCATAAAGAAGGACAAGAAGGAGGATCCAGGGAACCGCTGGCTGATCAGCTTTACCTCAGTCCCTGGGAAGGTAATGGAGCAACTAACCCTGGAAACCATTTCCAAACATTCTAAGGATGGTTGGGAAAAGTCAGCATGGGATTTTGAAAAGGAAGCAATGCCTAACCAATATGATATCCTTCTATAGGGAGATGACTAGTTTGGTGGGTTGAGAGGAGAGCAGTGGATGTTGTTTATCTTGACTTTGGTAAGACTTTCAGCATTGTTTCCCTTAACATCCCGATGGACAAACTGATTAAATACAGTCTAGATGAGTAGACTGTGAAGTGATCTGAAAGGCTAAAATGGCTGTGACCAGTGGCATGAAGTCCAGCTGGAGGCCAGACACTGGTGGAGTACCCTAGGGGTCAATACTGTGTCCAGTACTGTTTAACATCTTCAGTCATGTCCTGGATGATGGGATGGGGAATATCCTCAGCAAGTTTGCTGGCAACACAGAACTGGGAGGAGTCATTGACCCCCCAGATGGTTGTTGTGCCATTCAGAGGGACCTTGAAAAGCTAGAGAAATGGACTGACAGGAGGAACCTCATTGAGTTCAGCAAAGGGAAATGCCAACTCCTGCACCTGAGGAGAGGTAACCCCAGGTAACATTGTACACTAGGGCCAACCAGCCGGAAGCCAGCTCGGCCTGGGGGTCCTCATGGACAGCACACATGTCCTTGCAGCAAAGAAGGCCAGCAGCCTCCTGGGCTGCAGAAGGCAGAGCACTGCTGGCAGATTGAGGGAGATGACCTTCCCCTCCACTGAACACTGATGGGATATCTGGAGTGCTGTGTCCAGTCCTTGGCTCCTCAATACAGGAAAGACATGGACATAGTGGAGCAAATCCAGCAAAAGGCCATGAAGTTGGTTAAGGAGCTGGAGCATCTGTCATACAAGGAGAGCGAGCTGGGACTGTTCAGCTTGAAGAAGAGAAGACTTAGGGGCATCTTATCAACGTCTGCAAATATGTGGTGAGGAGGAAGTAGAGAAAGTGGCGACAGACTCTCTTCACTGGTGCCCAGTGACATGACAAGAAGCAGTGGGCATAAATTCAAATAGCGAAAAATCCACTTAAACTTAAGAAAAATTTTTTACTGTAAGGGTGGTAGAACATTAGAATGGGTTGCTTTGAGAGGTTGTAGAGTCTCCATCCTCATATGTGTTAGAAACTTGGCTGGAAACAATCCTAAGCACCCTGCTATAGGTGACCCTCCTATTATATTCTACCCTACTTAGGAATACTTGCTTACAATATATTTTGAAATAACTTTTGCCATTCCATATAATGTTAGTTAACAGCTCTCAGTAGCTTCAGAATATGAAGAAAATATTCTATCTTCTCTGGTAAATATTTTATCTGAATAGTTAGTTCTGATTTTTTTTTTTCACCTGTTACTGTGTCCATAATACAGTAGCAGGGATACCACAAAAACATACTGCTTCAATTGTATATGTTTGTGTTTTCTTAAAGTTAATTGCTACTCATGGATCTGCAGATGCTGTCTGAAGACCACATGGGACGGCAAACCCAGCTGACACATGATGAACCACTTTCTGCCCAAAAAGCGGCTCTTTTGAAGCTTTTTACTTTATCAGATATGGATGTTATTGTGAGGGCTCATGTAATCTGCTTTTGCAAGATTTGTGTTTGGCACTGTTCCAAGGCCTTACCAAACTCAGGAATAACAAATCATTACCTTTAAGTTGTTCAAGTTTATTCTTAGTAGTTTTTTTCTTTTTTAATGTTGACTGTTCTGAGAACCACCCTATATCAAATAAAAAGGATATTTTCACTGAACATTAGTTTTATTTGTAACTTTGTGGCAAACACCAGAATTCTTCTTTCTGTTTTTGAAGTACTAAAAATTGATTTCTTAAGAATATGAATTGAACATTGCAGATGACTGATTTTAAATCCTAATCTCTAAACAAGGAAATACTCTTTGCACAAGAAGGTCAAAGTGTACAAACCATCATATTGCAGTTGAAATTCATTTGTATTTTTGGATTCCTGGATGAATTGCAGTTGACCTGCCATTTAGATACATAAATTACATAATATGATGTATGTATCATGATTTTGTTTTCTATAAGAATGTAAGTAGTGATAGGGGCAAAAATCAGTGTTCATGTTTAATTTGTGCTGACACAAAAGTTACTGAAATCTTGCAAGCTTGTCAATCTGATAAATGTTATTTGTCTCTTTCTTCGTCCAAGATTGCTGTATTGATTTGTAATCTGAAAAAACAAATAAATAAAATAACAAGTTGGGGGTTTTTTTTAAGGATATGTTGTATGTCACAGCTCAGTTCTGAGACTGATTAACTGAGTGACATATTTAGTCCATCTTCCAAGGAAGTAGTGTTACTGAGACATGACTTCAGATCACAATGCTACATTTGGAAAGGAACATCTCTCCATAGTGCTTTCAGAGGTAGTCTGAAGACCTTTTTCAGGATATCCCATGAAAAACACACATAGAGACTTCCAAAGTCCCAGCAAGGCAGTTTGAGGAGTGAGGTTTAAAGATGTTTTTTGTGGTTGGTAGCTTAGCTCAGGAAAAAGAAAAGGGCATGCACCTTTAAGCTTATCCCCAGCAAAGCTTTGTTCCTGAAGAGAATGAAGTCCTATAAAGCAGAGCAAATAGTTTTTGATACACTGACTGTTTTTTAGTCTATTATAATATTGTCATCATATTGATTTGCTGGAAAATCTAGAGTGACAAAAACTTACTGGAGCAAAGCAGAATTGTTTCTATAAGGCGTTATAAAGAAGTAACAGTTTAACAAAAAAGAAAGTAATAATTCTGTGAAAGTATGATCTGACTTATATTAGGAGAGGGGGAAGGGAAGGAAGATGTATGATTTTTACCTATTAACGTGGGATTTGAATTGATAGTCAGGTAAAGGGAATATGTCTTTTAAAAGTTGCATTTTAAATGCATTTGTCATGCTTTTCTTTGTAAGAGAACTTTGTTTAGATATGAATAATTGGTTTGTGTGCAAGTTAATTGTCGTCTCTGCTGTGTCATGATTTCAGAGAGCCCAAGCTGCACTGCAAGCTGTGAATGCTGTGCAATCTGGAAGCCTGGCTATTACAAGTCCTTTTGCTGCTGAAGACAGACTTCTTCCAAGTCAAGGTTCTGTTCTTCGAATCATTGTTGAAAATCTTGTCTACCCTGTCACTTTAGAAGTGCTCCATCAGGTAATGAGGATTGCTAAAAAAAAAGTTAAAGCATCTTTGAGTGATGGTTGTTTTTTTGTTTGGGGGGGAGCGGGGGGGGGGGGGTTTTGGTTTTTTTTTAAGTACTTGTGAGGACTATCACTTTAGATTCAGGGATCTAATCTTGAATCAGTTTCACACACACACAAAAAAAATAAACAGAGCTTCAAAGTCAACTTCTGCTTTTCATATTGTCTTTCATTTCTTTTAGTTCCTTGGTTTCTGTGGAAGCAGCAACAAACTTGTTTTATTTCTAATTTGTGCCCACATGATAAGCTACTGAAATACTGATTGTTTGAACTTGTGGGCCAGTATTTTAGCACTCTGTGCTGAGTAACTTTTTTAGTTTGGATTATACTTTAGGATTTTATATGCACTTTTATGATCTGATTTAAGTTATGTAATATACAAGTATAGTTGCTTGGACAAATGTTTTTGACTGTTCATCAGCTGTTAGAATACTGTTTACTTTAACTACCTCTGAAAGCCTGGAATAGTGATGGGCTATAGCTGTGGAAGACATTACCATAACTCCTACTAGTTGTTGTGCTATGCTGTTGAGAACTAAGTTTAAAAACAATAACTCCACTAGATTAATTTTGCCTGAAGGATTTCTCTATTTTTTGTGGATATTGCAAAGGGTTTCATACTTGAAGCTTTTCTAATTGCTAGTAAATTTGTGCAATAAAACACACCCCAAATATTACTTTCTTTATCTAATGAGATTTAAAATAATTGGGATGTTTTTACAAGAACCTGCAGTTCTGGAAGAAGATTTTTGCTGCTCTACTAGCATCTCAAACAATAGTTGATTGTTACCAACACTTTATTTTTCCTCTTACCTCATAACATTATCTCCCTTCCATGATACTGATTAACTAGAATACTAGTTGTCACTTTGATGTAGTAGTTTGCCTGATATCTATGAGTATTGTTCACTGATTACTGGGCTTGTGCAAATACTATGTCAGCTATTTTGAATTATTAGCGCACTCAGAATAACCTGAGAACAAACTTCTGTGGGTTTTTGTTTGGTTTTTTTTGTTTTTAACTAAGCAGGCAGTGGAAAAGAAGATTCATGTTAATTTACTTTAATTTGAGTAATGTTTATTTCAGTGCAGAAGAACTATATTTTTAGTCCTTGAATTGCCCAATGACCCTCACTCAACTACTTTTGCAATAGGTCTAGAAAATTAAGTAATATTAGAAAAGGGAGCTTATTTGGAGTTCTTCACAGGGGACAGTCTCCCCTAATTAAAGCAGCACTTTGTGCCTGATAACTGCAATCTAACATTATTTTGTAAGTGTTAAGGCTAGTGGCAGTGAAACTTTTCACTGATAAGTATAGCATGATATGGAACACAGCAGGCAAGCTGTCATTCAAAACTTTGATTATATTTTCTAAGTAACAACTGCTTGTCAAGAAACTAACCCTTTTTTTTTGTAGCCACAATTCACCTTAAAATATTTATTATAAGAAATAGAATATTCATTGTTATATTTGTAGAAACAAAATTGATACATATACACTGGGGTTTAGGTTTAAAACCAAATAAGAATACATTGAATTTCATTATCTTAAAAAGATCTATTTGGTCTTGTGGATAAACATGGAAAATCATATGTTCACAAGCTGTACTTAGGCCTTTCTTAAGGGGAAGTGCTTTGTGAACAGGAACTCAATGGCTGCTTTTAAAATAGCTGTGAAAAAGGCTTCTATTCTGTCTTCTACCACAAAATGATCACTGCAGCATACAAACCTTGTTTCTTAGAGATTGAAAGACTGGGCACAAAGGATTAGAACAGCGTGTCTTGTATCCATGATTCTAGGCCTAACAGGCTGGCAAGAGACGCTTGTCCTTACCTCTGGCCTTTCTTTCCATTCCAGGCTTACTACTTCTCTGGAGGGTTCTGCTTTCCTGACTTTGCATCAGTTCTAACAGTTTGTTCTAAAACTGTTAGTGCTTCCTGAGCTCACTTTTCCTCTTCCACTGTTAATTTGGACATTGTTTTTCTGCACTTGCATGATATGTCTTAGCTTTACTTTTGTCCTTGTTCTTTGTGGCTTTGCTTTTGTATAGACACCTTTGTGTGGTGCACACTCTCATTTTGAGTGTATATGCATTTAATTTCAACATTTTAAAATTTTTTTGCAATGCTTGCATTTGCAATAAATCAAATGCCATTCGACTGTAAATTAGAGGGGTGGGTCCCAAACTAGATCTTTATCTTGCTTCTTTCCTTCTTTGTCTTCTAGTTTGGACAGTGAGTCTGTGTGATAGTTTAACTGAGCTGGCAGCCAAACAAGACACAGCCACTCGCAACTTTCCCCCACCACCTCCCCTTCCCCCCCCCCCAGGGGAAAGGGGAGAGAATTGTAGGGGGATGAGGAGACTTGTAGGTTGAAATAAGAACAATTTAATAATTAGAGTAAAATACAATTAAAATAATAAGAATAAGAAGAGTAATAATTATAACAACTAGCTATATATGAGTGATGCAGAGTACAGTTGCTCACCACCCACTGATAACGATCCCGGAGGAGTGAAAAGGAACCCTAAATCTGAAATCACAATCCCGGAAAAGCGAGCCCGAGCGATTCCCGAGAGAATCCCCCCCTTTCCGGTCAGCCCTGGTTAATATACTGAACATGACACAATATGATATGGAATATCTGACTGGCACATCCAACTGTCATTCTGGGTGTTACTGACTGCTACACTTTCCTTCTCCACTCCCCCCTTCCTGTCCTCTCTTCTTGGAAACTGCCCGAGCACAGTGTCCTTGTGCCTTATCAACATTGTTCTCATAACAATCCCCACTGAAACCAAAACACAGGACTTTCTAGCTACTAAGAAGAAAATTAACCCTATCCTAGCAAAAAACCAGGACAGTCTGGGTAATTAATTTGTAGGCACATCAACTATTTAAGATGTGGTTTTGGTCACAAAATTTGCAGAATTTGTTTGAAGTACAGAATGTAAAGATGGATACCTTGAAAAGCAGTTTGCAGTTCCCATCTCAACTGACTTGTGAAAGTCTACTTCTCAAACCTCATTTTGATTATCCACAATTTCTCTGCAGACATTGGACAAATGCCTTTCTGGGCTGGCCTTCCATGCTCTTAGTTGAACAGTCATTGCTAAATCTTTAAAGAAATTTTATCTTTCTTCCCCATCTTTTGTAGCCTCTTTTTATTTTTTTTTTTACCTGAAGCAAAATTCTGAATTCACTCAATTTCTGTTCAGCTCTCACAAAATAAATACTTTCCAGAAATTTATATGATGTATCAAATGCCAGTTTTTAATGTGCATGAGTTATTGTTTTCAAAAGTCTGTGTTTTTTCCTTCTTAGATTTTCTCTAAATTTGGATCTGTCTTGAAGATTATCACCTTCACCAGGAACAATCAGTTCCAAGCTTTGCTCCAATATGCTGATCCAATTAATGCATATTATGCCAAAATGGTAAGTGCAGTATATTCAACTTGATTTGATTTTTTTGGTTGGTTGTTGTTCCCTGTGCCATCCAGGTAAAAGGAGAACATTAGTGATAGCTTGATCTCTATCAACTTTATGACTTCTCGTCAGTCTAACACTCTTGTTGCACGTCAATAACTTTGACATCCCTCATTAGTTATGAGGATAGCACTCTATCATCAACCACAAACATAAACGTTTAGCACACACCCCAAGACCTACATGAGTCTACCAAAAAAACCTCAGAGCTGTCAGCAGTAATGAGTGATGGTAACAGCTGACCAAAAAGTCTCTTACCTTTCAAACTAAATGGAATATTTTCAGCGAGGTTCAATACTAAGAGTAGTGTAGTTAAATGCTCAGAGAGGAGATGAATGTTACCTGTTTTACTTGTTTGAATTTCAGTGAGAAATTTAGAGTAATCAATGTTTTCAACTTAAACAATTTTAAATGAACTGTATGTACCCTGATTTTTAAAATACATGTTCTCAGTAATGAAGAAAAGCTCAACCTACTTTAGGTGTATTTTCTATGGTGGGTTAACCTTATGTGGCTGCCAGACACCCACCGAGCTGCTCTCACTCCCTTTCCTCAGCAGGACAAGAAGAGAAAATAAGATGAAAAAGCTCATGAGTTGAGATAAGGTCAGGGACATTGCTCACCAGTTACCATCATGAGCATAACAGATTCAATTTAGGCAAGATTGATTTAATTTATTGCCAATTAAAAATAGAGTAGGTTAGTAAGAAACAAAACCAGAATTAAAAACACCTTCCCCACACCCTTATTCCTTCTCCACAGGCTCAGCTTCACTCCCAGCCCTTCTACCTCCTCCCCCAGCATGGTGTAGAGAGGTGGGGAATGGGAGTTGAGGTCAGTCCATAACACTTTGTCTCTGCCACTCCTTTCTCCTCACACTGTTCCCCTGCTCCAGCATGGGTCCTCCCTGTGGGATACAGTCCTTCACAAACTATTCCTGCTCCAGTATTAATAGTATTAATAATAAATTGTACCTTATTAAAGGTATCACAGAGATTATAATTTCAGTCTAGATTATATTAAATAGTTATAACCAGTATCTTTTGAGTGGTTTTTTCCTCCCTTCATCCATCACAGTTCTTTTATAACTGGTATCAGCAGAAAATACTAATTCAGTGATCTTTCTGAGCATAGCTGCTCTTAAAAAGCTGGATTTTATAGCATAATTTAGGTTGGAAAAGACCCTTAAGATCATCGGGTCCAACTGTAAACCTAACACTGCCACATCTGCCACTAAACCGTGTCCCTAAGCATCTCATCTACACGTCTTTTAAATACCTCCAGGGATGGTGACTTGAGCCCTTAACTGGGCAGCCTGTTCCAACGCTTGATTATCATTTCAGTGAAGATTTTTTTCCTAATAGCCAGTCTAAACCTCCCCTGGTGCAACTTGCGGCTGTTTCCTCTCATCCTATCACTTGTTACTTGGGAAAAGAGACCAACACCCACCTCGCTACAACCTCCTTTCAAGTAGTTGCGGGGAGTGATAAGGTTTTCACTCAGCCTCCTTTTCTCCAGACTAAACAACCCCAGCTCCCTCAGCTGCTTCTCACAGGACTTGTGCTCTAGACCCTTCACCAGCTTATGTAAGGGACAGTTCCATACAATAAAAATCTCCAGATTTGTATCACTGCTACCATCTGATATTGTGTGTTGAGTGGGAGACAAGATTAGAAGCACAGCTAGAAATACAAGTCATGCTTAAAGCTATGTTTTGTCCGTTGGCACAAGGCAACATAATAATTGGTGGACTGTGCTAGTACTCTACAGAGGATGTTTAAGTAAGAGTAGCGGCAGTATAATTGTCTACTTGGTTAGGATAAGATAGGTTAGATAATTTCTGTTTGGATACAATTGTGGGGTGAAAATAAAAGAAACTTCCAGTGGGGGCTGCACTATGTATTTTGTCTCTGGAAACATCATTATTTTTCTTCAGGCTCTGGATGGCCAAAGTATCTATACTGCATGCTGCACTCTGCATATTGATTTCTCCAAGTTAACTACCCTTAAGGTGAAGTACAACAATGACAAAAGTAGAGATTTCACTCGCCTTGACCTTCCATCTGGTGATTGCCAACCTTCCCTGGAGCCATCCATAGCTGCTTCCTTTGGTAAGAAACCTTTGCTTTTAGTAATAAATACACAATAAATCATTGTGCTTTTTATGTTGCATTTATGCTCTGGCTTCGTAACAGGTTCATAGAAAGGCACGATTTGTGTACGTTTCTGCTTGTTACATCCACTAGTTTGTATGGAAACAGAAAGTCCTACTGAAGATAAATGAGTATCTGAAATTATAACATGAGCAATACTTTGGGGAAAATTCAAAGTGTTATCAAAAAGCTACATTTGTAAAATGCTGTGTAATGATATAATTGGTACAGGTAGTATAATAAATCTTGCATATCAGAACGGGCAATGGCAGGCATCCAGAATTGACACTGGTTGCCTAAAGCTGCTTGAAAACAAGTGTTTTAAGGGTGTTACCTCTTATCTGTTGATATTTTAGTATAACTGCCTGCTGTAATAAACAAAACCATAAGAAACTTAGAAATGCTAAACTTATTTATGTATCTTTAAAAGAGAAAGTACCTTTTAAAAGAGAAGAATGTAGAAATTTTCTTGAATTTTAGAAGTCACTTCCATGGCATAGAGGAGACAGTGTCTGCTTAAAGCCACAATGGAGAATTTTTGGCATAAATAGCTCAGGTGTGCTCATTAATCAATTTTGATAATAATGCAAATCACTAAACAGATTAATCTGAGGACCTGGCAGAAGTACTCACAATGCAATTTGAGCATTTTTAGCTATTTTTCTTTCTCTCTAATGACAACCATTAGCAATAATACACAGCTAAGAACTGTCTCAGCTGTTGAGTAAGTATCTAAGTGCTGTCCAGTTGGTGAGAACAGTAGCAAGGACTCGGGAAGAATTCCCTTTCTTCCTTCGGTTTCCTGTGACAGCTAGGTCAGATACTGGGCTTGGTTTGGGTTTTTTAGTTTTGTTTTTTTGGTTTTGGGTTGGTTTTGGTTTTTTTTTTTTTGGATAGTTGGCTTTGGTACCTTAGATTAGAGTAAGAAAGTGAGTTGCATTCACTACATTCTTGATCATTTTTACTGGTTTTCACAGACTCACAGAACGTCAGGGATTGGAAGGGACCTC